ATATATACACACATATATATATACATATATATACACACATATATATACACACATATATATACACATATATACACACATATACACACACATATACACACATATACACACATATATATACACACATATATATACACACATATATACACACATATACATATATATACATATATATACACACATATACATATATATACATATATATACACACATATACACACATATATATACACATATATACATATATACACATATATATACACACATATATACACACATATATATACACATATATATACACACATATATATACACATATATATACACATATATATATACACACATATATACACACATATATACATATATATACACACACATATATACACACATATATACACACATATATACACACATATATACACACATATATACACACATATATACATATATACATATATATACACACATATATACATATATATATATATATACACACATATATTATACAAATACAAATATTAAATATACAAATATTACAAATGTATTAAATGTAAATTAAGATGTTTAAATGGGTCTTCTCTCAAACCGTCTGAAGAGAAGAGTGCGGAAGAAATATAGAAATATTACATCAGACAGATGACAAACATATGGACATAGTGAGTGTGGGCAACACAGACAGAACAGCATGGTTAGCATATTGCTCCGTCTATGTGTGTGTTGTCTGTCTGCTCCACCCAGCAGCAGGCCTGATGGAAAACACATTGACTAAAAAGAGCCTCAGTGGAAATGACAATGAACAGGCACTCTAACGGAAAGCAGCAAACTGAGAGTGACTGCTGAGTCACTCACGACGGCTGTAACATGTACTTCCAGCACACTGTCACTACAATGATTGCTGTTGTGAGGACATACTGTAAAACACTCAGCGCGTTACTGTCCCCTGCTTGTCTCAACAGTGCTGTGCAAGTCATACGGAGAATGTCTGCTTTATGATTTACCTTTTGTCTTCACGTGGAAGAAATAATCACAAGATTATGAAAATGTAAACTTCTACCCAACAAGTGCACTATTCAGTCAATTCAATCCCTTTTCTCTAAAACTGACTAAAACATGCACAGCCTCAAAAAAGTGTGTTTTACAAACATTACCGCAGTACATCCTCATTTCAGTGATTTAAAACTTGATATGTTACTACGTGTTATGGTCTGTGTTTGGGGGCATTTAGTCAGCGCAACATCACACACATGTACCAACACAACACTGTTTGAAGTATTTTAGGTTGGCGGGCAGCTCCTCCTGTCGGGTTGGCAGAGAAACTGCGATCATGAAATATAATTTCCTTCCTTAAGTTTGGACATTTTCAAACAATGTTGAACATTCAGCATGTATGTTATGAGGTTTGTATACAGTCAAACAATCCCTGATGCCAACAACAAATTTCCCAAACCTTTGTTCAAGTGCATGTATGTGTGCTTGTCTTGTATGTGTGTATATGCCCACTGAAGCAAATCATTTCATGTGTGTGCGCGTGTGTGTGTGTGTGTCTGTTTCTCACCACCATAGCAGATATAATCTGTGGTGCAATGAGCCACAGAGCTTTAGTGCAGGGCTCAGGTAACTGACAACAGGACAGCAGCTTCGTGATGATTGCTGCAGATAGCACCTCCTGGAGAACAGCAGAAGAGGGAGGTATTCAATGTCACAGCAAATGTGATTAATTGTGGAAAAAAACAAGGCAGAACTTCCCACCCATCAAATAAGAGAGCTGCTCATGTGAAACATTGTAATAACATCCCTGAATGAAATTAAATTTAAACCAATGAACCGGTATTTAAACATCAGACAACAAGTCATCAGAATTGAGCCTCACCCTGTAGTTCCCTGCCCTCAGCTTGCCAGTGACCAGTCCCTCTCTGATCAGCAGCAGCAGCAGGTTGAATCGTCCTGTAGTACTTTTCTCCACCAGGTGGCGTAGCAGCTCCTGCACAGCTGGCTCCAGCTCACAAACGTCACTCTCAGAAAGCCACGAAGCTGAAAGCAAAAGTGAAAATGTGTCACATTCAGGATGATTCAAATCTCTGTCCAATAAGATCAACAACAAGGCTTGTGTTTGATTTTCTTTCGTTTTTTGTGAAATATGAAATCTCCTTTTGAAAATAACTAAATAGACTATTTGAACATGAACACTTATTATCCGAAACAGCTGACATGGAATAAACCAGATAAAATCAGTTGTAAACGTATGTCAATATGTGCAACATACAGAGGTAATTAATGGAAGAAAAACCCTGACTGATAGCACAGGTGAATGACATGTGTGTCCATGTACCTGCCAGCAGTCTGTGCACATTCTGCAGTATCTGCATGTACAGCTCATCCAAATCCTTTCCTTCCTTCTTCTCCTTTCCTTGCTCCTCCTCCCTCTCTCCTCCCGTCCTCTCCACTGCTTTGTAGAAAACGGACAGGAAATGGAGCGAGGAAACCAGGAAGTCCAACGGCCTGTGGGCACAACTTATTTCTTTGAAGATCTGGCGGCAGAAGCCCTGATAGAGGGTCATGTGACTCAGGGTGAGCCGGGTGTTGTTCTCGTTCTCATCGTCCATTGAATGTGTGGAAAGTTCACAGTGCAACATGACAGTGACGACTTCCACCACAAAGGCTTGACCGAGGATGCTGGCCGGTTGGATGACTGACTGACTGACGGTTTGGGGCTTTAGGGCGGACTCAACAGCCGGTCCCAGTGAAGCAGTCGTTCTTGTGAGCATCCGAGTCAAAGTTTGGTCCATTGGTTTACTTCTTCCCAGGTTAGAGGCCATTGCCTGTGAGAAAGAGGTCAGCGATGCCAGCAGGAGATGAACAGACAAAATAGACGCTCCTGGATCTGGTTTATCTGAACTGGACGCCACAATTTGCACGTTTGACATTTCCATACTGGTAAGGTAGGAGGCAAACTGGTCTAGGTTGAGTCGAACACTGCTATTTCTGACTATAATCAATTGGACCAAGGACCTGATGAAGCTCTGCACTGCTTTGATCAAATCCAACCATTGAGAGCTGCCTGTGGCTTGAAATCGTCCATTGTTGCTACGCCAGAGGAGAGAGGCCACGGAAGCCTGCAGCAGAGTACCACCGTGGATGAGCTTCAAAACACTTTGGAAGTTTCTACCCTCCAGGAGACAAGTCATAACCCTGAGTAGCTTCAGCAGGAAGAGGACATCATCTCCAGATCCAGGAGCGTCCACCTGGTCTAGCTGACTAGAGGTGGAGGTGAGCATGAAGAAGAGGAGTAGGAAAATAGAGGAGAGATCCTCAGAGTTCATCCCATCTGGGTTAAGGTTTGTTAAGACTTGGAGTATGTCCACCAGGTCTTTGCTCTGTGTGTCAGTCAGCAATACGAACGCCTCTCCAGTCTTTGAGGATGCCAATATATCCTCAACTATAGCCTCTCTTTGTGCGGACACTCCTTTCTCCGGAAATTTCAGCAGCGTAGGACAAACCTTGGGTACATGAGCTGCCTTGAGAACGCTGATGATCCTTTGTGTGAGGGAACACATTGTGGCAGAGAACACTGAAGGCAACTCAGCAAGAACGGGGCTTTGGAGAAGTTGTGAAGATACGAGAGAGAAAGTGAAACAGCCGGGCTGCGGGTCCTTCCCTTGGCCCGTCTGTCTGCTGAGCAGTGAATTGACAAGCATGTCTGCCACGCAGCCCACATCCTCTCCGCTCAGGTGGGGAGCAATCAAAGGCAAATTGGACGTGACAAGATACCAGTGTGCTACATGGTAGGAGCCGGCGTTCACACTCGCTATCTGCCCGTCCCATACCTGCTCTCCATCCACACCTGCCTCCAACTCGGATTTAGCCAAAATAAACTGGGCCGCGGTGTTCAGCGGTGCTGCAGTGCTGGGTTCAGAGAGTAAGGAGGTGTCCAACAAGACTTTCTTCATCTGTTGCAAAGTGAGGAGCTTGAGCAGCAAACAGCTCATGGGTCTGCGAGACGGCTGTAGACGTGCTGGAACAATCTCCCCAGATAGGAGACTGATTATATGGGTTAGGGCTGGAGCACCGCCTCCAGTCTCACTCGCTGGTGCTGTCTGGAGAGATGTGTATTTGCTGCAGTAGATACTAAAGAGCGTGTCCACTTCCACCCAGGTGTACCTGAGGAGGAGAGCGGCCTCCTGGGTCTTCTGTTCCCACAGTGCGACCTCCTCCGACTCTTTGAGGTCCACAGTATTTTTGCCTTTCCTTGGTGTCCCTTTAACTGAACTGACATTTGCTTTTCCAGCCTTCTTTTCTGTTGACAACAGATGCAGTAACTCCTTGGCTACCTGTTGCATCACCTCCATCAATCCCTGACTCTGCCTGACTATAGGAAGAGGAGAGGCACTGTCTAGTGTCTTCAGACTAAACAAGACAACATGAAGCAGGTGGCTGAGGGAGAATAGCTTCATAGATGCATCCTCTCTCTCTAGGTCCACCATTATTTCTTTATTCTCCCCTTTATCATTTCCTCCCCCGTCGATCTCCATCTTCTCCTCTCTGTCCTCCCTCACCAGGCCAGGTAGTATATATCCCCTGATGCTCTCCAGCACTGATGAGCAGATCTCTAGGCCCTGGGAAGCGGGAGTGTCCAGAAGACAAGTCCTGAGCGAGGCGGAGACGCTCTCAGACAGCAGAAGAGGTCGTAGGTCGTCCAGCGCTGGCTGACAGATCACAGAGAGGAGCTCAGAGAAGAGGCGAGGCAGCTGACGGAGCTTAGTGTAGGTCTGGAGGAGACTGCACACCATGAGCTGTTGGGAAACAAACATTTTGTCTCAGTCAAAACTAACGTCCTCCACACTTTAAATTAGTTATTAAGTATTTAATTCAGTCGATTTTTTTCTAAATACAGAACGCAATTTAGGATTTAAATCAAGACCTGTCTGGCC